GGGACATGCTCTGAGCAAAACACCACCTGTCCTTTTGGGGTCTGGTAGAACCTTGTAGCAGATAGAGCAAGGGCAGAAATTGCTAGAGGAGTGCCAACAGACATAGCTGATGGACTTCAAGATACAACTTGACCCCAATTAGCAAGTCCAATCCCTGCTCTGTATCTGAAAGGTTCTTTGGCCTTCTCTGGGTGTGGTGGTGCATTTCTTATGGAGGTCTTTTTTTTTTTTTTCTTTTTTTGGAGAGGTTTTTTTCGCTATACAGCACGTGTGTTCACCAGACAGACAGAGAGAGACATAGAGACAGAAAGCGAGAAATCACCCCCCAGGGAGGATGGTCACGCCGCAATCCCTTCTCCTCCATTCTCCTCTCAGGATCTTGGGCACGCACGCACACGCGCCCAGCGTGAATTTTAAGTCACCGGGTACAGGATGCGAACCGTGGTCGACTACATGGGAGTCCAGCGACATAGCCATTATGCTAACTGCTGGTTCCCTCCTTATGGAGGTCTTTAACTTCTTCCCCACACCCACAGCTAGGTTCTTCTGCATTAGAAAAGAAGATAAGACTTTCTCTTGATGGGATTATCACCAAGGGATACACCTGGCCCAGTATGACTAAGCCCTTATAGATTTGTTAACTGCTTCTCATTGTCTGTAACCTGGCAACCAATCTATGAATTGTCATGAAACATACATGTGTAATGTCTCCTTGTACTATAAATAAAGAGGCCCAGTTTCTTTGGGGGGCTCAAGCAGCGGCTCAAGTACAACACAAGTTGCCTGGGCTACCTAGGCTCTGGCCGCCTGTGTTCATTTCTACTCTACCTCTTTGTCTCATTCTTTCCAGTTTCTTTCCAGTTCCCCAGTTTTCTCAAGATGGAGGGCTTTCTCTTTCTGGTCCTCTTTCTCTTCCTTACCAGCAGCCCTCTGATCATGATTCAGCTAGACTCAAGCCCCGGGACAGACGCCGACACCCAAGATCCAATGGGTTGGAGGACTGGAGAATAAGGATCGTGGCATGATCAGACTCCATGGAGAGTGGTTCTCTATCTCTCTCTCACACATATGGTCATGCACACATACTTTCATGAATAAAGAAAAAGATTATTTCAAAAGCAAGGAAGAAGCCAGATGTTATCCATCAACACAATGGAAGAATGACCCTGAAGGCATTTTGGTCATTTTCAGGGCTGTCCCACTCATTATAGGCCCAGAAGAGCTAGGCAGCAGCTTAAGCCCTCACTGTTCAGGAAATAGTACAGGGTGCCAGGGACTCCTAGCTTTGTTCCAGAGACTGTAGTGCAAATAGTTCTCATCTCTGTCCTCATCCTCTTTCACCTGCAGCAAGAAATGCACAGGTTGAGATGCCAGGACCTTGAAGGAAGAACAATTTAAGGCTCCATTTCCCACACTCCTGCACAATGTTCCTTGGTCATATCAACTGTGGCTTAAGTGTGGACCTCGGTGGCGGCCTTTCTGAAGAGCACAGGTGGTAAATTGGTGAGATCCATATAGTGCCATCTTCACTGACCTGTTGAGTGCACAAGCTTCAGGGGCATTGCTGCCTCCACCTAGATGTCAAAGGATGCCTCAGAGTCCCTACAGTAGTGAGGCCACTGCAGAGAGACCTCACCAGGGCAATTCCCATTGGAGCCATGGGAGGTAAGGCCATCCCAAGACCCCAGACAAGTAAAGCCACCAACGTGCAACTCCATCATGAGAGCCTCAGGCATGGAATTCTAATGCATGCTCGGCTGGACTGGACAGGTTGTGCCCAGAAAACCACACAGAGTTTTAGCAACTCTTTGACCTTTACAAACTTGGTCATGAAAAATATCTTGTTGTTCTAATTTGCATTTAACTCAGTATGAATAAGGTTGAGTATGCTTTCACATATTTAAAAGACATTTTCACTTTTTCTGTCAACTATGTAATTATGATTTTTGTCTATTTGTAGTAGTTGATCATTTTTTCTTATATTTTTTAGAGTTCTTAAGAAAAATATACCTTTATCTGTCTTACATGTTGCAAGTATTTTTTCAGTTTGTCATTTTTCTCTCAAAGTTTGTTTGTGGTCATTTTTTTTAAAAAGAATTATTTTATTGAATTTTATTTATTTATTTATTTTAATTTGACCAGAGAGGGACAGAGTGAGAGAGAGGAGGAAAGTGAGAAAGCAAGCCACCAGATTTGGGACTTAAACTGTGGTTGGTCATGTGGGAGTCCAACACCCTTAACCACTACGCCACCTGCCAATCCCTGTGGTAATTTTTTTCGCTCAAGTGTGTTATATAGGCAAATTTATTAATATTTTCCCTTATGTCTTGTTTAGAGATCTCTACCCCACTCCAAGATTATAAACAAACAAAACAAAAACTCCATGATTTCCTTTACTATGTTAATGCTTTCATTTTTAGGATTAAATATTTCATAGCTCTCAGATTTATTTTGGTGTAAAAGGGTAAGGATTCCACTTTCTCCCCAGATGAGTAATGATTTTTTTGTATATAATTCTGTCAATAATACAACCTCCTACACAAACACATATTATCATTATATTCTACCATACTTCAGGAGCTCCAAATTTGAGAGGGCTTACATGTAATATTTACCTACTCCAAAGAGGTCAAGCAAAGAAAGACATAAGTTTATTCAACTTACGGGATGCACCAATGGCAAGCAATCAGCAAGATCCACACCCTATGTAGTACAGCAAGTAGTTCAATGCAGTTAGATCAAAGCAATCATGATAAACATTATGGGGAGGGATCAGATAGACTTTCTCTCTCTCAATACCCGGATTTAGTTTTTGTCCACAATGTTTGAAGATTACCTCAATTACAGAACAGTTTTCTTATCTGTCAACAGGATGCACAAAGTTCTTTAAAACATGGCAGGTTGTGTCTTGTGATGCCTGTGTGAGAGACCTGTGCATTCCTCTGGATCTGGCCTTGGCCACTGGCCACTCTATAAAGTAGAGGGGAGGGTCACTTTCCTGCCAGAAACTACCCACAGGAGGAAATAATGTGTGTGGGGGATGTCAATGTATACTGCATACCTCACATCTACACTTCCATCTTTTTTCTTCTCCCCTTTATTCATGTTTGCACATGCACACACACTTGAGAGACAGAGATTGAGAAGAAGACTCTCCACAAGTCTGGTCACAGAGATCCCCTTCTTCCAGTCCTTGGGCTCTTTGGCATTCTGAAAGCTAGGCATATTTTAGGCTGACTGGCCTGGATTCTGATCTGGGTGGCCACCAGCTTCTCTTGAGGAGTACATTCCCTCTGTGCCATGGAGCTTGCCCTACGGTTTTATTTTCTTCAGTTCTTTGCCATAGGGTGCAAGCACTGACTAGAGAGAGACAGACAGAGAGAGGGCGAGCAATCGCCCCCTCCTCTGGGGGGATGGCCACACCACAATCCCTTCTTCTCCATTCTCCTCTCTACTAGCCCTACATTTCTTTTTAATTGTTTTTAAAATTACTTTTATTTATCTTTATTTTATTTTATTGTTTTAATTTGACCAGAAGGAAAGAGAGAGAGAGAGAGAGAAAGTGAGAAAGCATATCGCCAGGTCCAAGACTCAAACCACAGTGAAATCCTGTGTCTTTACCCCCCATGCCCCCTGCCAGCCCTATCATTTTTATTTTTTTGAAGATTTATTTATTTAATTCTACTTATTATTATCTCATTTTTAGTTTGCTATAGGGTACATATACTCACCAGAGAGAAAGTGAGAAAGCAAACTGCCAGCTCCAAGACTCGAACCACAGTCAGCCATGTGAGAGTCCAGCATCTCAACCACCATACCACCTACTGGGCCCCCTACATTTCTTATTATATCTTTTTTTTTTCTTATTCAATCTTTTTGTTTTGTTTTTTTTTTGTCATAGGGTGCATTCTTTATCTGGGGAGAGACAGACAGAAATAGTGAGAGGTAAAGTGAGAAATCACCCATCCCGGGGGGGCGGGGGGTGGCCATTCCACAATCTGTTCTCCTCCATTTTACTTCTGGGATCTTGGGCACGCACACACATGCACGTCCAGTATCCAGCGTGAGTTTCAAGGCATGGGGTCTGGGACTCCAACCTTGGTCTGCCATGTGGGAGCCTAGCGACATCATCTGCTGGCCCCTCCGTCTTTGTGTCTTTGTTTCTTTCTTTCTTTTTAAGGTTTTTGCCATAGAGCAAGTACACTGGCAGGAGAGGAGACAGAGACAGTAAGAGGAAAAATAAGAAATCATCTCTCAGGGTGGACGCCATGCAACAATCTGTTTTCCTCCATTCTCCTGAGATTTCCTTTTCTTTTTCTTTTTCTCTTTCTCTCTTTCTTTCTTTCTTTCTTTCTTTTTTTTTTTTTTTAGAGGATGTTGCCATAGGGTACATGTGCTCCCCAAAGAGACAGACAGAAAGCGAAAAATTGCCCTCTCGGTGGTGGGGGGAGAATAGGCGCACTTTCGTGTGAGTTTCAAACTGCTGGGGCCGAGACTCGAATATCAGTCAGCCATGTGGGAGTCCAGTAATGTAACCATTATGCCACCTGCTGATCCCTTCGCCTGGAATTTTGAGCACCCACCGAACATGTGCCTAGAGTGGTTTTCAAGGCGTCAGGTCCAGACTCCAACCGCAGTAGGCCATGTGGGAGTCCCAGCACCTTAACCACCACTGCCTGCTGGCCCCTCCTATTCAGTCTTGACGCATCCTTCATTGGAACCACAGGACTTGGATTCTGTGCAGTATCAGGAATCAGGCTGTGATCCAAGGCTTGCAGGCACAAGTACAATCAACCTGGCCACTCTTCGGGGTTTCCTTCCTTCCTCCTGCAAATCTGCACCAGAGGCAGCTAGGGGAAATAAACCCCTGAATTACTGAGTACTTTTCTCTTGAGTGTTTGTTGGCTAATGGCGTGTTGGGTGCGGGGGTGGGGGTGTCTTTGTTAGCTAAGCAGAGCTAACACCTTGAGGGTTTGTTTCCTATACCCATCCTAGCGTTACTCCATCCTTCCTTGAAATGGGGTTAGAGTGCGTGCTACCTCTCCTCCTCCCAACGCTCTTACTGCTCATCCTTGCCTGCAGATTGAATGGGGCAAGAATAGAATGATTGGGAGTGGGAGCAGGCGGTTGAGACACCAGGGTTTGGGGGGCTAGGAGGAAAGACATTCCCGCATGAGCTTTGCGCCCCCGCCATTTCCTCGACCCCCACCAGAAGGCGCTGGGGCGCTCGCATTCGCAGCACCGAGCGTGAGCATCCGCCCGCAGCTAACCGCGCGGCGCTGCGGTATGAAAACCTGGGCGGTGGCCTGACCCCTTCCGCCGGGCAAGTGGAACAGGGTGCCAAGGATCCCTGGCTTTGTTCCTGGAACAGGGGTGCAACGGTTTCTCAGCTCCGTTTGGTCCTTCAAGAATACGCGCAGAACCACCCCAGCTCCTCTGGATACAAAGTACAGAGTCAGAAGGCGGAAGGGGTAGGGCGCGCTTCTGAGGCAGGAGGACCCCCCAGTCTCCGGCTCCCGCATCGGGCCATCCCCAGCCACATGAGGACCCCCCAGGCCCAGGCTGAGAGCTCAGCAGAGTCCGGACCGAAATCTTGCTGTGGCCTTAGAGCGTTAGACAGGTCAGTGCCCTGGAGGTGGAGGTGAGAGGAAGTGCGCTCGGCGTCCGCCCTGTCCCCGGCACAGATTGCCGTAGCCGATCTCTAGGTCATCTCCGCCCCGGGGACCCAATTGCGCGGGCGTGATTCTGCATTTTTCCCGAAGGCAAGGTGTGGAGCCTCCTGCTGCAGCCCAGCGGCGCTTTTCTGCTTATGCACGGCCTCGTCGAAGTCACATCTAAATGTCTCTTGCATCAAGATGCCAGGCCTCGGGTGTGAGCGGAAACCGAGATGCGGGAGAGGGAGAGAAGAAAGGAGGCTCTGAGACCCTGAGGCCGCGGGAGCGTGGGGAGGGGTACCGGGAAAGAGATTCGCGGTGCAAATCCTAGCGCGATGTGTGAAGTGAACAACGCCCTTGGGAACCTCGGGAACCCCCAAGGTCGCCGGGGTCAAGGGCCCCAGCCCTGGCCATCCCTCCCTACCTTTCTCACGCCCCCACCCCAGGATGCGGCTGGGCCGACGGGCCCTCTGTGCGCTGGTGCTGATGCTCGCCTGCGCCTCGCTGGGGTTTCTGTACGTGAGCAATCGGGACGCGCCGGGCCTCCGGGCACCTCTTGCGCTGTGGGCGCCCCCGCAAAGTCTCCCCAGACCCGAACTGCCAGACCTTGCCCCTGAGCCTCGCTACGCACACATTCCGGTCAGGCTCAAGGAGCGAATGGTCAGGTGAGTGCCCACAGACAGCGCAGTGGCAGCGCTGTGCGCGTGTGCGCGTGTGCGCGCGTGCGTGTGTGTGCGCGCGCGCGTGTGTATGTGTGTTGGGGGGTGAAGGGAATCTGTAAGTAGGGGGGATTCCACTGGGCCCTGATGGTTGCGAAAAGAGAGATGGAGGAGGCTGCTGCTGAGGCTTGGGCTGGCTGGAGGAAAGTCTGCCCTCTCTGAACCTTGTGGCGGTAATGAGAATGGGAGGGCCCTGAAAGGCTCCCTGGTGTCCTCGGTTAGGCTTAAGAGGAGTCCAGATGGGATCCTGAGCGGTAGGTAGGCAGCTCCTGAAATCTCAGTAATTGGCTCTATTCCACATCGCTGTGCAACCCTGATTTAGGAAATGGGCCTTCTCCAGGTCTCCCCCTCCTCTTTGTTTAATAAGACAGATACAGGCCCCTGCTCTGCAGTCCGCTGGGTCTCTAGCATAGCTTCCCGAGGTGTGGGCGCTGTGTAAGCTGTGGGATGACAGGAGCTGTGCAGCTGGGCTCTGATGACCCTTTCTCTCCCCTCAGGCTGCTGGCTCCTAACAACTGCAGTTGTGAGTCCAGTGCAGGGGGCCTTCCCCTTCCCTTCCAGAGACAGGTTCGAGCCACTGACCTCACCAAGGCCTTTGACCCTGAGGAGCTGAGGGCTGCCTCTGCCGCCAGGGAGCAAGAGTTCCAGGCCTTCCTTTCAAGGTTCCAGCACCAATGAAGGGCATGACTCAGCAGGGGGAGAACAGGGGAGGTCTGAGGGTGCCTGTCCCAGAAGGGAGAGCCCCTCTCCCCCGACTCTCCCTTTATCCTTCCCTTCTCCACTGCTAGGAGCCAGTCCCCGGCTGACCAGCTGCTCATAGCCCCTGCCAACTCTCCCCTACAGTACCCACTGCAGGGTGTGGAGGTTCAGCCCCTCAGGAGTATCTTGGTTCCAGGTGAGGAAGAGGATCCTTGAGGATAACCTAGGCTCTTAAGCCCCTTTCTTTAAGAACATAAGGACAGGGACCAGCAGCTGGCATAATGGCTATGTCGCTAGACTCCCTTGTAGCCGACCATGGTTCGAGTCCCGGACCCGGTGGCTTAAACTCACACTGGGCGCATGTGCATGCGTGCCCAAGATCCCAAGAGGAAAATGGAGGAGAAGGGATTGCAGCATAGCCATCCTCCTGGGGGTGATTTCTCCCTTTCTGTCTCTCAGTCTCTCTTTGTCTTTCTGGTAAGCATATGTACCCTATAGCAAAAACCTCTCAAAAAAAAAAAGTAAGGATGGGGCTGGCAGGTGGCATGATGGTTAAAGCGCTAGACTCCCACATGGCTGACCATGGTTTGAGTCTTAGACCTGGTGGCTTGCTCTCTCACTTTCTCTCTCTCTCCCCTCAAATTAAAAAATAATAACATAAAAAAAATAATTATTTTTTTAAATAAATGAAAGAATGTAAGGACAGAAGGGACTCTAAGGTTGTCAGGAATGCAGACAGTTCAGAGAAAACAATCTGTTCCTTACCAACCAACCAAAAGTTGGGTAAAGAGTAGGGCAGTCCACTGAAGAGCTATTGTTTCTCTGGGAAGGGATCTGTCTTTCCATCCTGTTATGCAATGGATCCTGTGGACTCCTCAGCAAGAGTGATGGCTGTACAGGTCTGGGTTGTGTGCGGTCAAAGAGAGGAGAGAAAGTGAAGAGTTCAGGGCTGGCTGTGATTCTGACCCCTGGTTCTTCTTCCCAGGACTGAGCCTGCAGGCACCGTCTGGTCAGGAGATATACCAGGTGAGACAAAATGGCCAAACGGCATCGAGAATGCTGGGAGGGAGGAAGGGCCACCAGGGGAGAGAAGGAAGGGGGGAAGGAATCAAGGAGGCAAGAAGTGGGTCTGGGCCTAAGCCTCCCTTCTCCAATCCCCTCTGACAGGTGAACCTGACTGCCTCCCTAGGCACCTGGGATGTGGCAGGGGAAGTGACAGGAGTGACTATTACTGGAGAAGGGCAGCCAGAGCTCACTCTTGCCAGCCCAGGACTGGACCATCTCAACCGGCAGCTGCAATTGGTCACTTACAGCAGCAGAAGCTATGAAATTAATACAGCAGACACAGGTGTGAGCCTGGGTAGAGACAGGGGCAGACTGGGTGGATATAAAGGAGTCAGAAAGCCTGGAGTGGGCAAATGGCAGAGGGTGTGGGTGGCACTTGGACAGTGGCCAGAGCTGTCCAGTCACACAACAGGCATTTCAATTGGGTCAGCAGGCCAGAGAGAGAGAAGGGGCCTTTGTTCATCTGGGGCAGGAGTAGGCCAGAGGGAAACCCAATCCTTGGGCGTGTCCCCCCCGTTTAGTGCAATCATAAGGACCCCCGGAAATGACCTGCCTCAGGAGCCAGAAGACTTGGGCTCCAGTGCTTTTTTACCGGAGGGCAAAAGCCTTTATCATCCAGAGCTCCCATTTCTCCTCCAGCATAAGGGGCATACATAGCCCTCCTGCTTCTCTCCGAAGCTGGTGACACTGAGCGTGCTCCCATCTTAGGGCCTTCACAGTTGCTGTTCCCTCTGCCTGGAATGCCCTTCTGCCACATGGCGCCTTGTTGTCATTTGGATCTCAGTTCAAATGTCCCCCTCTTACTGATTACATTACTTCTCTTATTTTTGTGTTATGCAATTCTTACTAGTAGTTGCATTTTTTTAATTTACTAAACCTGAGACCAGATTGACTAAGTTCCTGTCAGCTTTGTTGCATAATCATGTAAATGAGTTACTGTTCTATGCTTCAGCTTCTGTCTGGGACTCAAACCATGCAGCTGACTGTGTGGGATCCAGCTGCCTCAACCACCACCGCTATCTCAGCTTCTTTTTCTGTAGTAGGAATCTGCTTAATAGGGCTATCATGAGGATTAAATGAATTCACATATTTAAATTTAAAGTAATTTCAAAAAGTGTCTGGCATATAGAAAATGTCTAATAAAGGTGACATTTTTTAACTTTTTTTAAAAAGAATGATTTTATTTAACTTTTATTTATTTATTTATTTATTTCAATTTGACCAGAGAGGGACAGAGTGAGAGAGAGGGAGGAAGTGAGAAAGCAAGCCACCAGATCCGGGACTTGAACCACAGTCAGCCATATGGGAATCCAGCACCTTTAACCACCATGCCACCTGCCAGTCCCTGGGTGACTTTTATTTTAACTTTTTAAAAAGAATTATTTTATTTTATTTGTTATTATTATTATCTTATAATTTGCTACAGGGCACATGCACTCACCAGAGAGAGACAGAGAGAGGG